CTCTTTCTTCCACAGCCATTCTTAATTTCATCCAGGATGTCTCTTTTAGTCCCTACATTTCATCCATTACCTTCACCTACACCAATCCATACTTCTTAGCCCAGTATTCCAACCATCTATGAACCTCTGATGGAACTGCCCAACACCCTTACACCCTTCAGACACATTCAGAAGAGATCCAGTCAAACAGCAGCCATTGCACCAATGAATCAAAGGCATAGCAGTGTCTTGGTTCATGATGAGGCCTCTTTCTCATCGGAGTAGCACCTTCTTTATACTTCATAGCCAATTTGAGCCACCCTCACTTTATCACCACATTCTGCACAGCTGTAAATTCACTGTGACCCAGGCCAATTTTCAGAATATCCAACCCAACCTGCACTCACCCATATGGTCAGATTATACCCATAGTGCTGTGCTGTGGTGTACTTACTCATCGATCTCACCAACAAGGAGCCTCACTGTGTCTGTATTTCCCAACAAAGACCGCCTCAGAAATGTATGGTTTTGAGTGTGACCATGTTCAAAAGCAACTCCCAGGCCAAATCCTCAGCCCTAACATCCTCTTTGAGAAAGGTGCGGTAGGTATTCATGAAGGGGCAAGTTAAGTGGCAAAAACAGGAATATGGCTCTTGGGGTTGTTTTTGGACAGGAAACTATTTATGTTTTTTGGTTTTTCTAATTACATTTGCCTTGTCTTTTCAGACCTCCGACAGATTTTCAGTAGGGGTTTTAGATCTAACAGTCAGTGAAGTCACACAGTAACCCTAAAGCTGAATGTCCACCGGACGTGGCTGCTCCTCTTGCATTATGACTTTATTACAGCTCTGTCACAGTGTCCACTGGAAACTTTGAAGAGGCAGAAATTTTTAAAATTGAGAGATATTTTCACATTACTTTTTTATTGTACAAGCATAAATGCGTGTGCAACTCATTAACAGATGGGTGACAAATTAAAGGAAAACCCAACAGAGGGGCATATTTACTAAGGTTTTGTGGCTCATGTTTTGGTGCTAAACAGTGATATTGCATGTGTTCATAGGCATGGCAGTGGGGCTTTGCGGTGAAGAAACATAAGAAGAGCGGCACTGCAGGAATTTGCATATTTGGTC